TCCTTTCCTACCGACCCTACGCCGCACCCCCGAACTTTTCGGATCAGGTCATTTTCCCAAATGGGACTACATCTTGGGTAGGTAGTGGTTGTTTAATGATATATATAAGAGAATAAAATTCAATAAATCCAAATGCCGCCCAAGGCAAAGGAGGTGAGGACTACTGTCTTCCCTCAAATAGAACGTACAGTCGCTATCACTGTATCTTGCCTGAAAGTTCCACCAAATACACTTATAATGACCGTACATTCTATTTGATGGACGATGGTACAGAGTGTAGCTGTGACGTGAACATACTTCACATTTTTTATAAACGCATCAAAATTTGAGAGTGAAAGCTTAAGCGCTATTGCATATACCTTATTCAGAATCTTCACCCAAAAAGGGCGTATGGTCGTCATTGCTGTAATTAGACCTAAGGATGCCCCAAATACATCTGTATCTAGACTGACAGTTGCCACAAGTACATCCATAATGACCGTGCATTCTATTCAGTGGAAGACAGTAGCAAGTTTTTTCTCACCGTCTCAAGAAGGATAGATTTTACAATCTTCCAGAAGGACTAAGAAGGACAGAAAACGGACACAAAGACAAGAAGAAGAAGAAGAAGAAGAAGAAGGAAGAAGAAGAAGAAGAAGAAGAAGAAGAAGAAGAAGAAGAAGAAGAAGAGGAGGAGGAGGAGGAGGGGGTGGTTTTAACGTCCATCATCATACCTTGATACCATCAAGCTCGAGCTGAGCTTGCATGAGAAGTTCAATCAGCATCGCCTGGTCCTGCAGGTGACAATGTGAAATTATTAACAGTCAGAAACTGAAGTATCTTTTCAAAGAAGAAAGGAGCAGGAATATGTGCCAAAAAAAAAAAAAAAAAAAAAAAAAAAAACATGCAGCAAATGGACTTCAGAGCACTGCAATCACCCTGGGTTCTTAACGTTAGAAAGCGGTGCAGGCACAAGTTTGCCGCAAAACATTTCACTTCCCAACATGTTGCTGTTGCTGTGGACCATTTATAGCATCCATCTCTTCTCCCCGGGGTTGCTTGATCTACTCCAGGTTATCTGTTGCCAAGGCATCACCATGTCCTGAAGTAGCTACCCAACATGTACACATACGCAAACACACACACACACACGTACACACATCCATGCGTGCGCACACACAGAAGCACATGTGAGCGCGCGTGCACACACACACACACACACACACACACACACACACACACACACACACATGCAAAAATACCCACAACCTACACTTACACTCACTACACACCTGCGCA